TCAACAAAGTACTTTCTGCCACTATTTTGTACCTTCGGTGTCCCTACTTCGTGTCTGTCTTGAAACTATTGATTCAACAAAGTACTTTCTGCCACAGTTTATACCATTTTGGGGATGAAATACTTAACTGAATGTTCTGTTCATTTAGCCACTGCCCACCATTAACCTTGCTTTCTTCCTTTCTCTTTACCCATATTCCTACCTAAATGGGTTAAAAATTTCATATATTCTGTGTTTATTCTTTGGAAGAGTTAACAATTAAGATTGTAGACAAAAGCATCACAATGGGAAAAACTGCCTTAGCGTTTTACTTGTGGAGAGTCAATATGAATTTGCCAAGGACCTATCAGGGTCAGCAAGGCAACCTAGCTCACCATCACTTTTGTGATATTTCAGTAAATAATTAAGAATCTCTTTGATGAACAAGCTGACAAATGTAATGGACAGAACAAAGGCCTCATAAAAAGGTGTCATGTGATAGAATCCTAGATCCCCCTCATGGCTAGGAGCTGGATGGACTTTGATAAATCTTAATAATTTTATATATTGTACATGCACACATACACAGATACATATACACAATTAGTTTTACATGATTGCATATATATGATTTTGTCATAAATGGCAGTAGCTATTTTCTCACAAAATGCAGCTGTCTTGACATGGAATTGAAGAAAACTGGATTCAAGTTTCTATGTTCCCAGAATCTCCCACCTTTCCCAAAAAGCAATTTACTTGCGAAAAACCTTAGTGTCTTCCTCTGCAAAACAGTAAGAGATGCTTGTGCTTGAGTCCAACTCTAGGATTGTAGTCCCCTTTTTATAATATAAGCATAGTTTCTCCATCTGGGCATTCAGTTAAATTCTACAACATTGCCATAATCTGATTTGACTCTAGATAATATATATATATACTCTATTTAACCAGATAGTAATTTAAAATTTAACAACATGCGTATTTCATGTAATATTATTAACAGCAGTTTAAATTAATATTTGATATATACCATTTGAATTCTTATAAGGTGATATTTGTTTTTAATTTTTTATTTTACTTTGTAATAAGCTCAAAATTACTACATCAAAATGTGGAAAGACTGCCACTCTTGATTTATAACAAGATGGGAAGAAATGTTTATAAAATTCTTATTAGTTAATCTAAGCAGGTAGAGGACCAGAATTAGTTAAACTTGGATATAGGAAAGATGCCTCCTTATAACAAATAAAACACACTGCACATTTTTATCCCAATTTTCTTTTTTACTTTTAGTGGAAAATCTTAATTAAAATTTTGATTATGAGGCATTGACGAAGAGGCCAAAAATAATCAAAAAAGTTCAAATCTACGTGCCTTTATTGTACTTGAAGACAAAATTGTAACTAACACTGTTATGATTAGTAGTACATTAATTAAAATAAAAAGTAGTAATATATATCAATGATCCTTTTCAAGTATTAGTTGGATAAAATTAACATTAACTCAAATCTGCTTATTTCCTGGAAGTATTTTAAACTTTAACCAATAGATATGATATTTAAAGTTTACTGTTTATGACATCTTAGAAGCTAATTATATTTCTAAACGTTAGTGGATAAATTAAGAAAAGAACACCTTATATTTCTAGGGAAAATAATTTATTTTATAAAATTTACACTTACTTGAGTAGATAAAAGCACTGACTTTCAGAGATCACAATCACAGATTTACGTTTTGGTAGAAGTGGTCTGAGAACACTGGTAAAAATATACAGATGTTAGAGTATAAGGGAATTAATAATTAGTACGTCAATAAACGTTCTGAGAATCTGCAATTTACTGGTTGACTGCACTCTCCTTAACAAAGGTCTTCCTTTCTTTTTTTTTTTAAGTGGCAGTATGACTTCTCATTTATTTCAATGAAAATTTAAATGATTCTTACAAATCATCTGAAAAGTAAAACTGATGATTTTACAAACAGAAATCTATGCAAACAGTCACAATATGCATTAGGACCACTATTTCTTACATGCCAAGTAGTTCTTCCACCCTGGAGAACACCTCTTACCTGAAAGTTGTTTTTTTCTGCAATAAATTTGCATCTAAGTTATTTTTAAAGATTCAAAAACAGTGCAGAGCATCTTTGAATTGATAAACAAGAATATAGGCTGGACTCAATGGTGCACGTCTGTAATCCCAGCACTTTGGGAAGCCGAGGTAGGTGGATCACAAGGTCGGGAGTTCAAGACCAGCCTGGCCAAGATGGTGAAACTCACCTCTACTAAAAATACAAAAACTAGCTGAGCATGGTGGCGGGCACCTGTAATCCCAGCTACTCAGGAGACTGACATAGGGAACTGCTTGAGCCAAGGGGGCGGATGTTTCAGTGAGCCAAGATAGCGCCATTGCATTCCAGGCCTGGGTGACAGAGCGAGACTCCATCTCAAAAAAAAAAAAAAAGAATACTATACTTTTGTATTATAGTTCCACTCCAAATACGACAGCTAAAAAACAAATCAACCTTCTCTTTACAGAACACAGGTGCCAAAGTCTTATATGCTTTAGGTATACGTATATATAAAACCATTCACCAAAGACATGATTAATTTTTGAGAGATCAAGGTGTAAATTAAGATGCTTTCTTATTTTGGTCTAGAGTGTATGTAAGGTTAGTATGTTAAGCATTGTTCAAAAATACTATTAAGTCATAATTATGCAGAATTTTCGCAAAGTTTAATGCACAGAAAAAGCATATCTTAACACTACTTTCTTTTAAAACAGACAATTAACATAATACACAAGTTATTAACATTATGGGCTTCTCCTCCCATTGGCAGTTAAATGCCTTTCTGTTTTCTGAAAAGATGATGTGAACTAACAGGTATCAGACTTGCCAACAATGTTGGTAGACTGTTCCCAGCGTATATCTGAGCGCTGAAGGAAGAAGAAAGTTTAAATTGTTTAAAGGACTATAATTATCACACAAAATTTATTAAGAAAAAAATAGATCTAGTATAACTAATTCTGAGTAAACCAAAATGATAATAACTAATTAAATGCTTTTTGATCCCACATTTTTGGCAGGTGTAATTGAGCCATGGTATTATTTGATTTTGTTATGATTGCATCCAAATTTGCTTAACCTCAGAGTTCTGTTTAATGGTGGTAGGATGTAAGAACTGAATTTTGAAAAACTACTCACTGTTAAAATCTCTCCTTCCTATAGGAAATGTAGCTGAGTTTTCTTCATCTCCCGTTTCTCTTTTCTTGTGTTGATTCAGTATCCTGAATCCATTCTCAGCTGAAAAGCTACAAATCCTTTTAGTGCAAGATAAGGTTTTATAGCCAGATTCAGTGGCAGACGACGATTTAAGAAATTATGTTTTTCCTTTGGTTTTTGTGACAGCATAATCCCATTGTTCTACTACCCTAGCATTTCCTCCTTAGACAATGAGGCCAACACCCCTTCCTGTACTTCATATAGGCTTTCTTTTTTTTACTCTATACTGTAATCCTGAATGCTTTCATGCATCCCATGGCTGTCATTATCATCTATACTTTGATAAGTCCCAAAATGATATCTTCTGTTTATATTCAACTTTAGAATGCCAGGACTGTCTTCTCTAGTTGCCTACCTCAGAGGTACCTTAAATTCAACCTGTCCGTAAGTCATCTTGCGCCTTAGCCCAGATTCACTGCTTCTCCAATGTTCCCTATTCCAGTTTATGGCAACACCATCCTCAGTTTCTCATTCCAAAAGCCCAGGAGTAATGTGTAAGTAATAGATTCTGGAGCCAAATCACCCTATGGCCGTATGACTTTGGGCAAGTTATTTATTAACCCTTTGATTTACTTTCCTCATCTATGATGTTTGAGTATTAATGACACCTACTTCTTATGGTTATTGTGCAAATTAAATATACTAATACATGTGAGAAACTTAAATGATGATTAGTACCTAGCAAATGCATTATAAGTGTTCACTATTGCTTTTCTTCTCATATTTTTTAACTTTTATCTTCTTTGCCTCAGACCCACATTCAGTGAATCACTAAATTCTCCTATTTCTAACTCCACAATATCTTTCAATTCCATTCTGTTTGTTTTCACCATCTTGGCTAAGTCCACCATCATCTTCTAATTGCAGATCTACTCATATCGCTGCCTTGCTTATGGCTTCACAGTATTCCCATGGAAAAAAACCCAAAAGATTCAGTAAAATAAAAACCCTGCTGGCCAGCCTGGCCTTAGAATACTTCTTTCAGAATATGTGTCCACCACCTCCTCCTCTGTAAGTCTTTTACTGCACACACCTTCCAATCTCACTAAAGAACTAAGGACGCTCTTCCCTCCTAATGAAGTTGTGTTTACTTCTCAGTTCTCAACCTACATACAAATTTTTCCAGAGAATTCCCTGAAACACTTGCCTCTCTCACCAGACTAATTTGGTCCATCTACTCATATAGATAGTATACCATCTGTCATTCTAATTAAGTAATGATGTGTAGCTTTTTTATTCACATCTGTCTCAAAGGTAGGGACAGTGAGAGAGAATCATGCCATTCAAATAGAAGTTTTATTCTCAGCATCCAGCACATCAATTCACCATAGTAGATGTTCAGTGAGTATCTGTCCAATTAATGAATAAATGTCAAGCACTGTGTCCTACCCTTATGGATACCATAGTTTAGGAAGAAGAGAGTTGGTAAAAACAGATGTGAGAAGTATGATAAAGGATACATTAAAAAGTGCCTTGTTGTCCACTAGGAGGAAAGGTTTTAATTGAATCTGAGTTGATAAAGAAGGTCTACATAAGGAAGCTTTGTGATTTCAGGCTGAGGATAAGTGGATCACAAGGTCGGGAGTTCAAGACCAGCCTGGCCAAGATGGTGAAACTCACCTCTACTAAAAATACAAAAACTAGCTGAGCATGGTGGCGGGCACCTGTAATCCCAGCTACTCAGGAGACTGACATAGGGAACTGCTTGAGCCAAGGGGGCGGATGTTTCAGTGAGCCAAGATAGCGCCATTGCATTCCAGGCCTGGGTGACAGAGCGAGACTCCATCTCAAAAAAAAAAAAAAGAATACTATACTTTTGTATTATAGTTCCACTCCAAATACGACAGCTAAAAAACAAATCAACCTTCTCTTTACAGAACACAGGTGCCAAAGTCTTATATGCTTTAGGTATACGTTTATATAAAACCATTCACCAAAGACATGATTAATTTTTGAGAGATCAAGGTGTAAATTAAGATGCTTTCTTATTTTGGTCTAGAGTGTATGTAAGGTTAGTATGTTAAGCATTGTTCAAAAATACTATTAAGTCATAATTATGCAGAATTTTCGCAAAGTTTAATGCACAGAAAAAGCATATCTTAACACTACTTTCTTTTAAAACAGACAATTAACATAATACACAAGTTATTAACATTATGGGCTTCTCCTCCCATTGGCAGTTAAATGCCTTTCTGTTTTCTGAAAAGATGATGTGAACTAACAGGTATCAGACTTGCCAACAATGTTGGTAGACTGTTCCCAGCGTATATCTGCGCGCTGAAGGAAGAAGAAAGTTTAAATTGTTTAAAGGACTATAATTATCACACACAATTTATTAAGAAAAAAATAGATCTAGTATAACTAATTCTGAGTAAACCAAAATGATAATAACTAATTAAATGCTTTTTGATCCCACATTTTTGGCAGGTGTAATTGAGCCATGGTATTATTTGATTTTGTTATGATTGCATCCAAATTTGCTTAACCTCAGAGTTCTGTTTAATGGTGGTAGGATGTAAGAACTGAATTTTGAAAAACTACTCACTGTTAAAATCTCTCCTTCCTATAGGAAATGTAGCTGAGTTTTCTTCATCTCCCGTTTCTCTTTTCTTGTGTTGATTCAGTATCCTGAATCCATTCTCAGCTGAAAAGCTACAAATCCTTTTAGTGCAAGATAAGGTTTTATAGCCAGATTCAGTGGCAGACGACGATTTAAGAAATTATGTTTTTCCTTTGGTTTTTGTGACAGCATAATCCCATTGTTCTACTACCCTAGCATTTCCTCCTTAGACAATGAGGCCAACACCCCTTCCTGTACTTCATATAGGCTTTCTTTTTTTTACTCTATACTGTAATCCTGAATGCTTTCATGCATCCCATGGCTGTCATTATCATCTATACTTTGATAAGTCCCAAAATGATATCTTCTGTTTATATTCAACTTTAGAATGCCAGGACTGTCTTCTCTAGTTGCCTACCTCAGAGGTACCTTAAATTCAACCTGTCCGTAAGTCATCTTGCGCCTTAGCCCAGATTCACTGCTTCTCCAATGTTCCCTATTCCAGTTTATGGCAACACCATCCTCAGTTTCTCATTCCAAAAGCCCAGGAGTAATGTGTAAGTAATAGATTCTGGAGCCAAATCACCCTATGGCCGTATGACTTTGGGCAAGTTATTTATTAACCCTTTGATTTACTTTCCTCATCTATGATGTTTGAGTATTAATGACACCTACTTCTTATGGTTATTGTGCAAATTAAATATACTAATACATGTGAGAAACTTAAATGATGATTAGTACCTAGCAAATGCATTATAAGTGTTCACTATTGCTTTTCTTCTCATATTTTTTAACTTTTATCTTCTTTGCCTCAGACCCACATTCAGTGAATCACTAAATTCTCCTATTTCTAACTCCACAATATCTTTCAATTCCATTCTGTTTGTTTTCACCATCTTGGCTAAGTCCACCATCATCTTCTAATTGCAGATCTACTCATATCGCTGCCTTGCTTATGGCTTCACAGTATTCCCATGGAAAAAAACCCAAAAGATTCAGTAAAATAAAAACCCTGCTGGCCAGCCTGGCCTTAGAATACTTCTTTCAGAATATGTGTCCACCACCTCCTCCTCTGTAAGTCTTTTACTGCACACACCTTCCAATCTCACTAAAGAACTAAGGACGCTCTTCCCTCCTAATGAAGTTGTGTTTACTTCTCAGTTCTCAACCTACATACAAATTTTTCCAGAGAATTCCCTGAAACACTTGCCTCTCTCACCAGACTAATTTGGTCCATCTACTCATATAGATAGTATACCATCTGTCATTCTAATTAAGTAATGATGTGTAGCTTTTTTATTCACATCTGTCTCAAAGGTAGGGACAGTGAGAGAGAATCATGCCATTCAAATAGCAGTTTTATTCTCAGCATCCAGCACATCAATTCACCATAGTAGATGTTCAGTGAGTATCTGTCCAATTAATGAATAAATGTCAAGCACTGTGTCCTACCCTTATGGATACCATAGTTTAGGAAGAAGAGAGTTGGTAAAAACAGATGTGAGAAGTATGATAAAGGATACATTAAAAAGTGCCTTGTTGTCCACTAGGAGGAAAGGTTTTAATTGAATCTGAGTTGATAAAGAAGGTCTACATAAGGAAGCTTTGTGATTTCAGGCTGAGGATAATGGTGAGCAGGAGTTGGCTCGGTGAAGGACCTGAAATGTGAGGATGGCAGACTGAGAGAAGATCACCTGCAAACTCTCTGAAGCAGAAAGTGTAGTCTGTGTAACACTAGAAGGCAGATGTCCACTTCACACCATGGTGTGAGTTTGCACAGGGCCATTGCCTCGGTGACTTGTGTGCCCTGTACTCTCCCAGAACATTCTGCTGTGATAAAGGTTCTTGGGATTTTCTGATTCCTGAGTTGGGAAGAACTTAGTTCATATAGTGGCAAGTTGGAGGCTCAGGATATGATTCAATTGTAATAAAAACAGTAACAGTAATAAAGAAATGTATCAATTTTTGCTATAAGTTTATAGACTAAAATTCTTAGTTTATACATGTGCACCCACAAATACACACACACGCACACACATGCGCAGAGGCAGTTCTGAAAAATCACATACAAAAATACAGGATTAGATGTATGCGAAAGGAAACTTACTTCTCTTTTTACTTTATACATTTTTAAATGTATAAATTTCACTCTTGTTTAAAGTTATTGTGTGGCATTCTTTTGGCATAATTTATGTAATCAAAACTCTCAAAAGCTATATAAAAATTAAGCAGAAATACGTTTCAAATTTAGCCAATAGCTTGTCTAGTATGTCTGACTAAAGTTAACTTTATGGTATGAAAAATGTGCCTTTTTTAAGCTTGGAAAGAGCCACACTTAAGTATACCTTGGAGAAAGGTAATATGGGACGATAGCACTCTGCAAAACTTATAATGAGCTATTGTTTGTATAATTTTTTAATCACTAATATTCAAGACTTGATTTTCTATGGTGATACTGAAACGTGGGATTTCTCTGCTTCAAGCCATCTCAATTAGCTATGCAAAGGGGTGAAAGTTCCTGGGATTTGTTTGGCAACATGGTTCTGAAAGGCCGTTTGGTGCAGCTGCCTTGCATTTGTTTCATCAAGAG